CAGAGACTTCCCTGAATACACAGAGCACACATGTGCCTATAATAAAGGCTGAGGCTGGGAGTGGATTGCAGCTTTGGGACTGGAGGGGGTGCTCGCTCCCTGTTTCTCTGGCCACATCCCCCAACACTCATGGAATAAGTAAACAAACTTAAAATAAAACCTTCTAAGATCATTTATAATCACACTGAAGTTGATCATTAAAAAAGTATAAACATTTACTCGAGATCAGCAGTTAGCGTAATGGCTATGTCGCTGAACTCCCATGTAGCTGACCATGGTTTGAGTCTCGGACCCGGTGGTTTAAACTCACGCTGGGCACGTGTGTGTGCGTGCCCAAGATCCTGAGAGGATAAGGGATTGCGGCAGCGTGACCATCCCCCCTGGGGGGGTTATTTCTCGCTTTCTGTCTCTCTGTCTCTCTTTCTGGCGAGCACACATGCCCTACAGCAAAAAACTTTCAAAAAAAAATTTACTTATCAGTCATCAACAAAAGTAGTTTTATAAAAGTTCATTCAATAAAAAAATAACTTAAAATCGCTGATTAGTATCAGATGTAGTATCTATACTAATAATTGTGGTACATAGCTGAAGTCCAGATTAAATATATTGGTAAAAATATTTATGGTACAGATTTCTGAACCAAAGTAATTTTGATAGAAATCTAAACAGTCAATCATATTAAGTTTTTATGGCTATCTTTTGTGTATGTATCAAACTTAGTGCTTTATACTTCAGAATAAGGATTTTTTTATAAAACATATCCATAACATGAAGAAATCAATTGTTCTGGAATCATACCAACTACAAACAATGCACACTGTGCAGACTGCACCCTCAGAAGTATGAAAGTAAGCATGCTGTTCTTTCAATGTCAAAGTAGTCATTAATGTGGGTGATTAATAAGTGTCTGTGCCAAATTTCTGAACACAAATTAATGGTTTCATTATAAACCAAAGCAATAATAAATGCTATGTAAAAGACTAAGTACTTCTGACCAAAAATACCACCAGACTAAATAAACATTTATTTTGCAAAATCGGGCTTTATTAAAATGGTATTAATATTTTAGAATTATAGTAATGTTTTGATGGAAAAGAATCTATTCATAGCAGGTAGATCTAAGCTTTACATTACATCTTTATAACTAGAGTAGACCCTGTAACTTACTGTCAAACCACAGTTTTGAAAGAGAAAAGTGGTACTAATAATTACTAGAGTACAGTAAGCATAAACTGGGACTACTCCAGGCAAACCAGGTGATATAGTTACCTTACTTAAAAACACCAACAAATCCAAATATTCTCTGGTCTACAAAGCTTTTTTTCAAAAAAATCTTACTTATAAATATGAAGTCTGCATATCTTATTATATATCATGGAAAGGAGACAAAGACTTTTGTAATACCTACTCTAAATAAATCCCAGTTCTATTATGCCCCTGTGTGGCCAGACAGTACAGCAAATGTCACATATTTAGTGACAAAGAATTACATCTACAAGAGAATACAAATTTCTTCAAGAAAGATTGCTTTAAAAATAGCGAATAAAACAACTTAAAGGATATTAAGTACATTTGCAGAAATTTTATCACAAACGATAGTCATCATTATCATGTTTGTTAGAATACTGCCCAAAGCAACTGATAACTCAATGTAGTGAACTCTGCTAAAAAATATATCTTTTAGCAACCCAATATTTATGTTTGCTTCAAAAATCAAGAGCACAAAAAAATTATATTTCATCATGAATTCAGTACTTGAAGACTTTTATACTGACGACAAAAGCAATTATCTTTCTGTCCTGATTGAATGACTTAATTTGGGAAAAAATGAGTTTACACTGAGAAGACTTGGTATAACAAGAATTTAAATTAAAGTGGCATTTCATCAAAGTGGCATTTTATCAAGTAGATTTATGTAGGATTCAGATACATTTTTTTTCTTGCTGGACCTTTAGTCCTTTCATTTTTAGTTATAAAAATATGCCTCATTTATGCACTGAAATGATACTAAAGAACACAATGGTAAGAGAATAAGCTAAGAACTGTCGGTCTGAAACATAAGGGCCATGCTATATGGTGCCCAATAAAAAGTTAGTAAAAAATAATTCTATTTTCATTCATACATGTATTTGCATTATTCACTAGATAATAGTTTCACAAACTATATTAATCTGCAGTTTAATGATTTATGATATATACAATATTACTGATATATTTTAAATCTTTCCTTCTTTGATGAACTTGGAAATGTATTCAAAGCAATCATATGGGAGATTTTTATCTTTTAGCCATTTAATTGCTCACGTGTTATGGAAGCCAACTGCCCTATCTAAAAACCTGATCAAAGTTGAGTTGCAGATTTAGGGATAAAATCAGTTACTTAAAAAAAAGTCTGTTTAAAAAACTACTTGAAAGGGTCACTCTTTAACATATTATCTGCAAATGAAGCATAGTACTAGTCTAGCAATTTCTCCTAGAGAGCAATTCACAATAAAATATATTCTATTAGTCAACTGTCCAAATCTAAGATCTTTATTTTCCTACCAGTTTAAAGACCACAGTTAATGTTACAATACAAATAATGGATAATCCATGTCAACTAGTCTAAACTATTAAACAATTATTATTCATGTAATAACAACCAAAATTGTTCCTCCCAGAGATGAGAGTTATATAATTGAAGGTTAAAAATCTCAAAACTATAAACATCCAATCTACAAAGTTGAAAGGCACTTTACTTAGAAAAAAATTAAGTTGTTGCAGGATAACATCTTTTGATGACATCTCTGGATGATTCTTCTTCCATGATTTTTTTCTTCAATAATTTTTTTTAGTCTATACCTTTACGTTCTGCTTTGGGGTTAACTGAAATGTAAATGTCAGGCATTTGTATATTTTTTTTAAAGAAGCTAAGCAAAATAAAACATTTAGGAGACCCTTGTCACTAATCTAAATACAAATACTAACCAAATAATTAGTATATGTAGAAGCATTAATTGTGAGTTCAGAACTTATTTTTCACTCTCATACTTATAAAATAGTAACTTTTTGTTTAATTGGTCTCAATCTTAAAAGTAAGTCAAGTAGTTGATTATTTATAAAGATTAGTAGATCTATTTGTGAAATAATGCCACATTTTTTTAAAAACTAAGAATTTAAGAATATATAAAATCTGGGATTTTTTTTCCCAAAAGCAGGATAAATTCTTTCTTGATTAATTGGTAGTTTTGATATTTTAGAAAGGAGTCAAATATACTGAGTAAGATTGGTTTTATGAAAACATGAGAAAGTTCACAAGTTAATGTTTAATAGTGACAGCATAAATTCCAGATTTTAATGAGATCATTGAAACTATAGGCATGCCACCAAAAGAAACTTGAAACCAAAGCACATTGAAAGTAGTAATAATGCACATAATTGTCTCAAAAAAGAGATATCTGTCATATTTTAAAACTAATAACATTCACTTCCTTACTGTGTTAATAGCACAATTTCTACAGAGAATATACACCTCACCCTGATATTAATACTTGTAAAAACATAAATTCTTAGCATTAAAAAAAATAGAGATAAAAATTTTAAAAAGGAAAAAAGATCTAAAAATCCTAAAACTCTGGAAGCTTCAAAGCATGGAAATTTTTAGAAAGCAATACTGCCTCTTTTATTTAAATATAACATGTAATATGTCTTAATCATAAATTAGGATACCAAAGTGATCTATTAGTAAATAAAAAAATTATATTAAAAATAAATAGCCTACTATAGAATTGCTTAACATCTTGTATACTGTTATCTATTTTAAGTTAGTCTGAAAATAAAATAAGAAAAAATCAGATTAGTTCATTGAGTAGAACTGCACTTAGGAAAAGAAGCAAAAGTAAAATTTTACAAGAAATAGATATATTATTCCATATTCAAAGAATGGTAATAAATAGATTTATCACTGCTAAGCATTTTAAATGCCAACAAATTTTTAAAAGCCTCCTTTTCATTTGCTAAATTAAGGTACATATTGTGTAACAGGCTTTTTTTTTTTAATCCTAAAGGCAGGCTGCCTCACATTGTTCAGAGATCCTAAAAAGAACAGACCAGCAAAATCTTTCAATATTCTATGCACTAATAGTTCCCCGTCAGTTTCCAGAAGGTTTCAGTGCATTTTCATGTTCACAGAATTTCTTTCTCAGTCTTTCACCACATACAGTGAGTTAAATATGGGATCGTTTTTTAAACTGAATATACAAGTAAGAAATTTTCAAAAACCAAACAACTTAAATGAAGAACTGGGTGATAAAACAGCATTTTTAAAAACATTCTTTAATAGACTATCTCTTTTAGTGTAAGCCAGAGAAATCATCTAAAACGTATGTTCATAATTTAACAGCCTTTACCACAAAAAGGGGTGGGGGGGGGGGTGATCAGGTCGAAAAAGCAATAGGAATTTATAACAAAGAATACTCCCAAACTAGCCATTCTAATACAAAGCATTATTAGCAGTCCAATAACATAGCTTGTTTAAAAGTATTATTGATCTATCCTGCATAAAGAAATGCCTTAGACCTAGAAAACATCTTCCGCATGTTTTACAAGAGCATGCATGATTGCTAATTCACATTTTCCAACAAATCACATATATTATATAGCTCCATCCCTGTATATGCAATGTAATCACCGTCATGATCACAGAGAAAACACCTATGAGGCATTTCAAGTTAGTCATTTTATTTGTTAGAAAATAAAATTATAAGGCATCCTGATCTCTGTATCATATTTCAGAGGTCAAGCTAGTTAAATTTAAGATGCTTATTATGCTTGGAAGTAAGCTTATTTTCCTTCTTTAAATCAAGTTAAGAAGCATACTTCATAGAATTTTATATTTATAGTCAAAAAGACAACATCCCTGTAATATCAACATTTCAGTTCAAAACAGTTTTTTCAGACAGAGAAGATTAGTATTTTGAAAATAATAACATTAAAAGAAAATATAATTTAGCTCTACTCACCTTGCATTGTTCAGTGTTTGTCCAAAAAGCTCATTTTGTAAAATATTTGGTGGGGATGAAAAAACCCCATGAAAATGAGATAAAACAGAATTGCAGACCTGGCGCAATGTCTCAAATTGCATTTTCTTTCCTTTTTTTCCCCTTCTCTTATTTTTTCTTACCACCTGTCTTTAAAGTCATCTATTTGCAGACACCATCAAATAAAAACATGCCAATCAAGTTCCATATTTCTCCTGAGCTCTGTAAAAACTGTGCTTAAATGAGCAGAGGTTGATAGTTAATTGTACAGTCATTATTCTTCTAATTCAGTCGTAGAAGATTCGGTATCCGTGCAGCTTTCGGCTTTCTCCTGACTGTAGCAAGAAATCTAAACAGCAGTAGGCTTTTTGGGCATTCCCAGCTGAAGTGTGAAGCTGAGCTGCTTTCATGTACTCTACTCATATTTCTCTAAGCCTATTAAAAACACGCAATGAATAGATGCTGTCGTCAGGAGTTTCAGCACATCTGGCTGCCAGTAATAAAATCTCAGAAGTAATAAAAATGGGGACAAGGTATCTTCTCAATGTAACTACTAGGTAAAAGGAAGAGAAATTATGTTCTTCCCCAACCTTTTCTCTTTTTCTGAAAAATGAATAGGTCCAGCAATAGAGTATATCTCTTCGATGTGCAAGCTGCTGCATAGGACCAGAATACTCTAAAAATAAATGGCATATCCTTCTTTTTACACCATGGAAAAATAAAAATATGATAGACAATAGGGCTTTATTGTCTATATCTATAATGCCATACTTATAAGAGAAGTACATTAAGAAAACATGTACTCAGTAATCCTAATTTCTTATTTAATTTTTAAAGTCATCCTTTATTTATTTTTAAAAGTTAATAATGATCAACTTCTGACTAAATGGTTATTCATATAATTTTAGAAAAAAGTTATACCTTATCCATTAAAATTCATCTGAACAGCACACATGAAATAAAAACTCTCCTACAAATCAATCACATACACACACCAAGGCCAGAAATACTTTATCAACTATTATTAATTTATTTCAATAATGATGATCATAGCTTTTTTTGGAGAGTGTCCCCTGAAGGCCCTATTAGTCTTAAGGCACTTCCACATCATCATCCATTCTCAGTGAATAACTTCCTTTCAGATAAAATCTTAAGCTACTTTGTAACCAGGTTCATTCATTATTCTACAACAGATTTGTAAAAATAATGTGTAAACCAAATGCAAAATATCAATTAACAGAGATGTTTAATATTTTTCTTGATCTTTAATTGCTTCTAAACCTTGATGCTTCTTAATAGATCCAGCCCTTTTGGCCCTGTTTTATCTCATTCCTGGCCCTAACCCTCTTACTCTTTCCTCACACATCACTATCAAGGACAAGGCACTTAAATATACTAAGATGTTTTGTAAAATTGGTGAATTTTTTTACATATGTAAACATATCACAAAAGAATAAGACAAAATAGACATGTAAAATAAATTTTTAAGCAATCAATTTATTTGTATACTAAGATGTCCAATTATGGGTTTGTCATAAATTAAAATGGTGCCCTAATTTGAATATTATTATTTCAGACTTTTATAGTTGCATACCAATCTATTTATCAAACACATGTGTGTGTGTATATATATATATATATATATATATGTAAATAAAGTATGTTTTAGTTGAAAAAGTACTTTGAAATGTATTCTTTAAATACAGAAAACATTGTCTATCTTAATGCTACTCATTTTATAGAAGAAAAGTGAGGCTTTAATGGATTAAAGATAACACAATTTGTACAAAATAGGTTATTTGGAATGAAAGTCTTTGCTTTCTTTGCTTTGGACTCCAATTCCTATGCTCCTTCCCGATCATTCTATTTTATTTTTATTTATTCACTCATTCATTCATCCATTCATTCATTCATTTTAATTTGACCAAAGGGACAGAATGAGAGAGAGACAGAGAGAGAGAGGGAAAGTGAGAAAGCAAGACACCAGATCCAAGACTTAAACCATGGTTGGTCATGTGGGAGTCCAGCACTCTTTAACCACCACACCACCTGCCACCTCTTATCATTCTGTTTTCTACATATGTGCATACATGTGCCTGCATGCATGCACACGCACACACACACACACACACACACTTTCTGTAAATAGGCCAATCACTATAGATAAATAAGATAACTATCAACCAGTGGTCTATCAAAGATATTTTAGAGCAAAAATCTTAACTTTTTTTTTTAATTTGCTATAGTGTGTATGTATGCACCGGCCAGACAACAGAAAGAGTGAGAGAGAGGAAAAGTGAGAAAATACCTTCCATCAGGGAAGGCCATTCTGCAATCTCTTCTCCTCCATTCTTCCCTTAGGATTTTGGGTACACATACACCCCTGCCTGCAATGCGTTTTCAAGTCACCAGGTCCAGGACTTGAACCTCACAGTTGGTCATGTGGGATCCTGCCATCTTAACTGTCACTCTGTTGGTTGGCCCACATCTCAAATTTTTTAACCCATGAGTAACTTTAAATGGGTTTCATCTATTTCCATAGAAATAGAAGCAAGCTGGTGTGCTTTAAAACACTTTAAGCCTCTGATGATAAAGTTGATTTTTAACATCTACAAAAGGCCAATTTAACAAGTGGAAACATACTTTTTTTAATTCTTATTTTAAGTGAATTTCATAGCCTATACTGTGATGGAAAAAATATAAATTTGTCCTTTACAAGCATATTTAATTTCTATGAATAATCAAAAACCCTTTTGAAGCATGTTTATTAAATAAGAAGGCGATTATACTGTAAAACATTCTTTTTTGTTTAAAGAAATTTTTTTGTATTTCAAAATTGGATCTGAAGGCAAAGCTTACAGTTTTAAAAATGGTTTAAGCAATGGAAAGAAACATCACTGAAATTAGTCTTAAAATTGATTCCTTTGAAAGAATCAACAACATATAAACTGCCTTCCTTAAAGACATCACTTCCAGCTCTTACCATACAACACTATTACCCAACTTTCTCTTAGTTCTCTCAAAATCCCAGGAGTGATTTCTTCCACTTTCTCTCCCCAGTACCACCATTGACCTGGTGAATTCAGCCCTCATCTTTAAGGGCCCAAATGTCACTCTCTTCGGAAGACTATCTCTGACCCAGATTAGGTCCCTTATTATGTACTTTTATCATATCCTGTATTTGTTCTTAACAGTATTTTACAAAAGTATAACTATATGTTTATTTAAAGAAAGTTTTTTATCTCTCATTCTCAATGAGGTTAAGTCCTGCATTCTTTCTTATTCATTTAGCACAGTTCCGAGTACAGAGCGAATGTTTAATAAGCATTTGTTGATGAAATGGATGCTTAAATGTTATAGAAAAGTTAATTACTTTTTAGAAACATCCGTAGCTAGGACATGAAACCACCCCAGGGTTTCATTTGGTTCTTAGTTTCTCTCTCTCTCTTTCTCTCTCTCTCTCTCTCTCTCTCTCTCTCTCTCTTTCTGTATGTGTGTGTGTATGTGTGTTTGTAGCCTACCACATTGTGTTTTAAGGCTCATAAAGACAAAAGCCACCAATATATGAAATTGAAATCATTAAGCTTTGAATAGACTTTGTAAGTTGTTATGAATATCCTGAGTATTACAAAAATGTTCATAGGTAATATTTATTTTAAATTTTCTATATGCTGCGGGCTCACAAATAACATAAATATTAGAGATTTCTTTTCCTTTTCTTTTTATAGAGTTTTTCTAGTGGGTGCTTGCACTAGCTGGAGAAATAGAGTGAGACAGAAAGTGAAAAATCACCCCCCAGGGGGATGGCCACATTGCAATCCCTTCTCTTCCATTCTCCTTTCAGGATTTTGGGAACGCACAACATGACCTGCATAATTTTCAAGCCGCCAGGTATGCTACGTGAACTGTGGTCAGCTACATGGGAGTTCAGCGCCTTAACCACTACACCACCTGCTTGGCCCAATTTTGGAGATTTCTATATGAACAAAAAGAGCATGGTACCTAGTGACAAACTGCCTATGTCTAAATATTGACTTCAACCTTAACTAACTATAATACCTAAGGATGTTCACTTTGTGTATCTGCACTATGATTTCTTCAAATGTAAAATCAGCTGTATCACTTACCCCATAGGATCATTATTGTGAAGATTAAAATATGTAATGTGTATAAATGCATTTTATAAACTCTAAAGAATATAATATTTGAAAGCAACCGCATTGTGAACTATTCAGCAATCAAATTACTGAGATCAGAATTCTTTTTATTTTTTTAGTGAAAGATTTTTTCTATAGGGCACATGCACTCGCCAGAGAGAAAGAGACAGAAAGCAAGAAATCATTCCCCAGTGGGGATAGCCAGGCTGCAATCCTTTCTACGTTCTCTTTTTGGCATGCATGCACATACGCCCAGTGTTCCAGATCTGGGACACAAACCATGGTCGACTATGTGGGAGTACAGCCATGTAACCATTATGCCACCTGCTGGTCCCAGAGAGACCTGAATTGTAACAATTATGTTCAGATATCTTTTATTTATCATATGTATTAATACAACAGATACAGAGTTTCTTTACATAAGTCTCTCATCTATATATTAGATGCTGATGAGATGCAGTGCTTATGTTCACCCTTTTCCAGGAAAATGAGATAAACTTAGGATGTCTTCCACATAAGATCAGCTCAGAATTTACCCTGAGCCCAGCAGAGAGGCAATAACTCTCACAAAGCGTCTAGGTGATAGTAACTGGTTTTCCTGTGACTATTCTCTAAGAATCTTAGCATCTCACTGGACATGACAGTGCTAATCAGCATTCTCACAGAAGAAGGGGTGTTAAGGAACTTTTGGAAACAAGGGAAATTTTATTATAGAAGATATCTACAATGCCAGTCAAAACTTTTAAAGTTTCATCTAAAAGTAATTAAGGAATTTCAAATAAAAGCAATAAGATAATGTATTTCTGTCTATTAAACTGGCAAAATATTGGCCAGAAGTCAGAAAACAGACCATCTCATACCATACTTATTGGTAAGAGTATACAATGATATAACCTTTTTGAGAAATATTTAGACATATGTATTAAAAGATTTTTTAAATGTTCAGAATCTGAGAGATAATGAGAACAACAGATACCACAATAATATGGATTATCTCTCAGTAAAAATAGTATAGATTTTTTTCCTGTTATACTTTTTGATGCCACAAGACATAGGCCCATGCATTTTAGCTTAGCAATACTCAATCAAATAAAATACTAAATTGTTAGTTTTCACATGATTAGCTATATTGATGTCCATTCTAAAAATTCTCTAATAACTCAAATTGTTTAATTAGTACTATGAAACATGCAAATGAGAAAAGAAACCAACACAGCACTAACTTCTTTATAGCATCCTTACAAACATTTA